TATCTTATCCTTGCTGACATGAATTCAGTCGTTTGGTTCACAACAAAAGCTCTTACGAATCCACTGAGACTTAGTTTCAGTTCAACAGCAGGACCCAATAATAGCATTATTTTTTGTTGCTGTTATGATAAAGAAACAACTATACTGGTCTGAACACATTAACACTGGACAATGTTCATCCACTCTGAAGATCACATTAGACAAACCTAGCTTTTAGTTTCAAAATACTGGTTCCTGGAAGTATTATTTCAAAATGCTAGGGCACCTGCTAAAAGAAAAAGACAGTGGGAAAAACCAAATACTTTGCAACAGGACTTAAAATTTTTAAATAATACTGTTCTGTACCTACGCACCTGATACCTCTACAGTCATTATCACTTGACTTCCATCCATTACTTTGAGGTCAGTCAGGCCTTTATGGAAGATGGGTGCAAAATTCTTGTTTAACTTGACAGCCTGTGAACTTTCTGTATTCTTGCTGCTCTTCTTTTCTGTGAAGTCAAGAAGAGAACAAAAGGGGTCTTGTACAGGAATTCCCATGACAAAATTTAACTGACCTAAGCTTCAAACCAATTTTGAGTCAGTGGGTTTGTTTCAGCTCTCAGAAGGCAAAAATCACTGAAACCACCCAATATATCTGGTTTGCATTGCCAGTAGTCCAAGCAGAAATGCAAGAAATGGGAATGGAACTATTCTTCCTCCAGGGATTCTCTTATATCATGGTTAAGAGATATCTTAGAGTATCACACAGAAATTTACACTAATTTTCCCCAAGTACACATGCTTAGGTGCAAAAAAATCCCCAACAACTTGTTACCAACAATTCAATGCCTTTAATAACTTCTAAATTCACATAAAAATCTTTAAGATGTCTTATAAATTGCTATTCTCATGATTGATTAATTAAAAATGTAAACTCACAATAATACAAGATTTGCCACCATATGGAACTACAAACCATTTAGATTATTAGATGCTCAATATCAAATGGATTTGAGTTCATCATACTCCTCTCTTGTATTACTGATTGATGATGGGAAAGATCGAAACCTGAGGATATCAACATGTATCACAAAACAAACTGTTGGTTTGGAGCCTTTTTTATTTTTTATTTTTCATTGTTTTGAGGCTCTACAATCAAATTATGAGCGTTGGAGTTAAACTGATCACTTTTAAAAAGCAAATCTATCTGCAATAGGTATGTAACTTCCAGTATCAGCAGTGGTCTCCTCCATCTTGGATTCAGAAGCTATGAAGCAACATCATTGATCTGTGACCTAAACAGTACAGTAGAGCGGGAAAGACATTTCTGCTCTAAAGGCCTAAGCAAAGACACTTCTGAAGACAAAGTGGTGATCATGACCAAATGTAAGAAGTCATAAATATTTATCAGTCACTTGGATACACTTCTTGTTTTGCTTAGCTTGAGTTCAGACCTCTTACGTCTTGCCTTTAAAATGCCACCCAACTTTCTGTCCGTACATGAAAATAGCTTCATTTTACTTATTCCCACCTTCAAAAATTTCAAAGATATACCAAGATCATCCAAAATAGTATTACATCAACACAAAGTGCCAGGCTGGAACAAAACCACCATTCATAAAAGGACAGTGATTAGAAAAACTGTAAGCATCTCACTAAGCAGATCTACTGAACCCCTGGGATGCAAGAAGCTAAGCTTGTCCCAGGGTTATTTGAGCTCAATGTAAATTTGGAAGCTGCCTGGAGAGGAAGTTTTCCCTCTTCTCTAGCAAAGTTTTTTCTAGCCAAAATCTTGTCTTGCTGGCTTATATCGTAGGTCTTTTCTTGGCACTGAGCAGCAAGATATTGATGAATGTGAGAATGGAAATATGGGATCTGACTGAGACCGATTCAGTTTGATGTTATGGACTTAATACTCTGAAATGCCTGATTTACCATCAGGCCACACTGATCAGTCTCAGGGCTTCCTATAGCACCTGTTCCTAAGCAACTAATACTGCATAGAAAATACTCAACGATAGAGCTTCAAACAGCCACTGTACTAAGCAATATCAGTACATGCTCCTTCTCTACTCTAATGCCTTGCAGAAAATCCCTTTGTTCCTCAAATTGAAACGGACTCAGGAAAGAAAGCAGAAATCTATATAATGTCAAAAAGGAGGAAAAGAAGAAGAAAAGAAGAAAAGGAAAAAAAAAACCAAACAAGACAGGAAGGAAGCATAGGAAAAAAAAATAAAGGAAAAGACAAATAATACGTTTTTTTCTGATCCCTTTTATTGAAATAATTCATATAACTGCAAAACAAGAAGGCAGCTATGCAATAAAAGGGGAGAAGGGAAAGGAAAATAAAAGCAGAACTGTGGTTTTAGACCAACAGAGGAACAGATTTGGGGTATGACTGGAGAAGTACAAGCCTTCAGAGAGGACAGATAACAGAAAAATAAACTGAAACAGCTCCCATGAGAGAGTTAATGATGACCAGGAAACAAATTCACTAGTAGCTGCTCTAACAGCAGTTCTCCCAGAACAGACTGAGCTGCCTCCAGCAGAGCCCTGGTACAAACAGCATTAAGTACTCTACATCCCTTGCAGCTGACTTTTTGCTTTATTAAACTGGTGTGCCTGTTCCACGTAGTCTAAATAAACGGATTTCTGTAATCAAGGAAGACAACATGGTATAACAGCCTCAGCTTATTAAAAAGAAATGGGTGAGCAGCTACAGAGGAAATAGAGCAAAATAATTTTCCCAAAGAGATTTTTCAGCAATGCTAACTCCTCTGAAATATGTGCTGAAGAAATAAGTTTCATATACTGGAATAAAACCAACTTTTTGCGCAGAGCTGCATAAACATTAAAAGGGAGCAAGCATATAATTCACAGTAATTGCATGTATGAATTATAAACCCAACAAGATTACAGGAAAGTTAGGCCTCAGTTTCTGAAGCTATCTCAGACAGATATACCCTGTGCTGGTGAGATATACTAATATGAGTGACATTGAGAAGATGTAGTGGGGGTGCAGGCCCCTATCCCAAAAGATTATCCCAAAACCTGCAGGATTAAAGAATGAAGAAAAACTTGTTACTGATCATTACTCATTATTTGTGAGTGAAAATGTCAAATTAAAATGAAGGGGTGGGGGCAGAAGCTACCTCACCATCACACAAATCTTCAAAACAGAGTTTACCCTGAATTTAAGCACTACATAGGTTTATGCTGACTTCTTGTATGAAGAGACTTAAGTAGAATATCACAAAAATTTTCTGATGTTTCCTGACTTTGCAGCAACAAGTAAAAATCTTGGGTTCTAATCCATAAATGCTATTTGTTCATTAAGAAACCGTAGAGGCTTATTTCATATAATATTTCTTCCTTTACTTAAAATTTTATATTGTGGACTTCTAGACTTAGAAAAAAAATAAACTGACCTACTGACAACTTCAGTTTCTTACAGATATTTTACACAAGACAACATAGCCAGTTTTAGATATGTTACTTCGTTTTATTTAGTCTTACTCTAAAATCACTGCATTTTCTCAGAAGGGACTGATAGAATCATTCAGAGGCTAAATTACAATGACTGAATGTTAACCATTTTCAAATTCTTCTGAAGCTTGCAAATGTTTTTAGTTGTTTATTTATTGCACAGCACCATGTAATGACTCAGTGTTCCTCTGGTGAAGGCTTTAATATTTCACAAATTTACTTTCAGACAGCTGCACTGTACATTTTCACAGTTTATTTTAAGGTATCTAAGCGCTTCTTCAATTTTAGCCTTTACAGCTCTTGTTTGGAAACATAGCAATCAATTTGATTTTGGAGGGTACTTGGGAAAAGAAGAAACTCTGCTCATTCAAGATTAAGCAAATAATTCCATGATTCCCATTTATGGCGAAAAGATACTGTGTGAATTTATTTCCTTTTGAAAACAGTTGGATGATTATTTTGCCAGGAAAGTAGTAAAGGGAATCCATACACAACAAAAAACCCAAACCCAGGCACTTTTTGCAAAAGGGTAGCTTCAGAAAGCGTAACAATAATAAAAGTTCACGTTCCCTGGCTACAGCTAGGTGCTGGCTAGTTTCACACATCTGGAACAAAATCTGTGACTTAAACCAAGAACATGAAGGGCAAGGAGACAAATAAAACAGGACACAAATAAGGAAGCTGCACACAACAAAAAGCCAGTGTAAGAGCTTGCTCTTCATTCATTCCTCCAAAGCCCCTTTCATCACACAATCTCCTCTAGGGTTCAAAATTAGTGTGCTTTTCACTGACAGCTGGCTTCATAGCCCAAAGCAGGAGGAAGGAAGAGAAAGAAGAAAGCACTGGTACAGCTCCCAGGTCAGACACAGCAATTCACTATGCTTCTGGCTGAAACAATCTCTTTCATAACACTGCAGGGTATTTTTGCTGCCAAAACTTCAGATGATAAAAATATGGCACATCTGTCACCAGAAAGGAAATCTGGGACCTAAAGAAAATTTTGTCTGACATCAGCATAAGGGCATTACTGTTACATATCTATGTATCCCCAAGCTTAATCAATTGGATGTGAAAAAGAGGAGATCTGATCTCTTCCTATTATGGTAATGCGCTCTAATCACCTATAGCCATTTAACCTCTGCCTCACCACTTACTACTTATTACTACTTGTTACTTTCAAGTAGGAGTTGGTTCACCTCTAAGAATGAAAAAGAATGTAAGGGTTAACACACAGCCATAGTGACTAAAAAAACCTGCACCCCAGGCAGTTCATTTTCTCCCTCCCTTTCCTTTTCCCAGTCAACTTCTGCTACTGCAGTGAGTTCCACACAGGTGGATCACATTAAAGCAATTCATGAGTAACATCAGAAAACGCTACATAGGGTGGCTTGATAAAACACAGGTACCTAACAATAACTTGTTTGCAGACTATGCAACTAGTGTATTTTACAGTAGCCTATAAAAGCTGCCAGAATTTTTTAAACCACAGTTGTTGGTTTCATGCAGGTTAAATCATGCAAGATAATACAGAAGATACCATGGTTTTCTCAAAGGCTGCTTACAGAGCACTGAATTCTCAAAGGCTCTTGTACAATGATGAGATCAAGAAGTTTAACAATTTTTGCAGAGATCTGTGGCCTGGCATAATACATAAGCCCAGCTGGGCATTATCTTGTAGCTGGTGGTCTCTGTCATTTCAACAGGCTTTCGATAAGGTGTTACACAGGGTGATGGATTTAAAAGTCCACCACAATGATCCCACTTACATAGTTCCTATGACTTTTTGCCTTTCCTCAGGCTTTAATATGCATGAATGTTGGGAAACAGCAAGTAATAATATGCACAGCTCAGTGGGAAACACAGTCCGGGACACCAGAAATAGTAAACAAAGCATTTGAAGGGTACCTTATATACCCACATATAGTTTCTACAAAGCAAAAGGAATGTAGACTTTTCCCACAGCATTGCCTTACCCCTAAGGGTTCATTTTTTTTGTTAGAAAGATACTCTAATAAGTATCCATATCTATGTTTTAAAAAGCCACTTAGTGCATTAAATCCACAGAGATTAAGGAGAATTTAAACTCTTCCAGTTTCTTACAAAAATACAGATTTTCAGCATATTTGGATGGCAATGTGAAAAGAGATATATTGCCTCTGATAGACAACTATTTCTATTAATCTTCTATTCTGTCTTCCTGCATTTGTGTAACCAACAGAAAGTTAATCTATCTACAGTGACCATATCACACATCTGTTTTTTCTAATAACCTGTATTAATAGAAATCTAAGGTGATAAAAATTACTTAATCAAGGATTTATAGAGTCCTTACTTAAATTTAACCACCACATATCTGAAGACTGGAAATTATTGCAAGAGGAGTCTTAATGTTAGCTGTCGGCCTAAGCCAAAATACACTTGAATTTTGTCAAACCTAGATGTGGATTGGAACACAGTGCTTGAACACAATTGTAAACGTCTTTATATTGATAAGCAAGGGATTGTGTTGAGGGTGAATATGTAAAGGAAAAAGTGGAAAATTCATGCTGAATAGTTAACCTACTACAAATCAATTGTGCAATACACATGTAACAGCTTAACTGCAAGTGTACAACCAACCATTTACTTTCTAAGGTGGAAGATGTAAGGTAAACCTACACACTCGGACAGAAGGAAAAAAAGGATCGATAACCTCACTGTGGCGTTTCCATTTCCAGATATGATGTTAAATTTAGAGTGAAGAAGAACATCCAGATCAGGATGCAACTTTAAGAAGGTTTCCAAAGACTAACCTGGGTTTTACCTGGCCTGCAGTCAAAGAGTAGACATTTTACGGATATTATATATTCCAGTAAATTTTCTTGTTCATTTGCCTACCCAGATGAACTGAAGGCTTTTTAATGTGAGCTGCAGAATGCTGACATCTGTTGAAATATCATGACTTCAGATGCTCAAAACTGCACAGAATCAATCAATAACTGAGTTCAGAAGGGACCTCTGGAGATATCTAGTCCAGCCCCTGGCTCAAGAAGGGTCAGCTGCAGCACTGCATATGTACACGCTTTCAATGCAATAACTCAGCTGCACAAGATCAGAGTTACAAGTGGTTACAAGCCAAGAATATGCAAAGAATAGAAAATCTGCTGCCTTATGTTCAGAACTCTGCAAACAACTTGCAGTGTTTAGTCTTATAAGATATTTAATTATACTCGAGGAATCTTTGCCAGAATCATGTGGTTAACTGCCAAATAATGCCTACTCTGAGTAGTGCGAAAGGGCTGCCTCAGCAACATTTACCATTTATGGTATTTAAATATCATTTTGGCTCAGAGGCTAATAAGTCAAGTGAGCTGAGGAGAATGCTTAACTAAAAAGCTGTCTGAGCAAGCCCAGAGAGAGAAGCAGCAGATTCCACTAAAATTTCTCCAAGCAAGACTCAGGTTCACACACAATTCTTGAGCCTGAAAAGAGTTTCACATCTCCATGTATTTTCATTGTAAATAAATCCAGCTTTTACCAGATCTCATGTTAACAATGGTACCAACTCAAAAAATAACAGATTTTATAGAGCAGAAAATTGGTATTAGGGCACTTGTCTCATCTTTCTTTCTTCCTGTAAAGTATTTTTCTGTCTCAGGCCTGAAGTAGTACGGTCAAAATATTTTCTACAAGTTTTCCAAGAATTACAAACTTGATTTATGCTGGCATAAAAAAATATGAGACCTGTATGCTCTTAAGACATGTAGGGATATTTCTGCTTTATTAAAGACCTCAGGTTGGTATGCCATTTTGCAAACTTAGGTCATGAGAACTGGATGCTTAATAGCTTATCAGTGTTTTTTATACATCTACCTCCCATCATTTATTTCTGCAGTTATAACCTGTATTTTGTAAATGGAAGGCATGTTTTAATTATCCTGAGGAGATGCTGTCACTGAAAAGCAGGGAGAAGTCTGGATGCAGTACCTCCATTACATGCCTTGCATTACACAGAAAAACTGTTAACGTAAGACTGACAATCATTTAAGCCTATTCTAGTCAGGATGGTTAGGGATATACAAAGGAGGCTGAGTTCTACTTTACCCAATCTGGCATTCTATTTATTTTACTGCAGGGTAGTCTTCCAGCCCTATCGTGCAGCTCCATGTAGGCTCCTTCTTTCCCGAGTCTTTCCCTCTGTATGGGGTATCACTAGGTCATCAGCATTTTAACCTGTTTTGTCTGCTCTAGTTTGTTCTTCAACCCGCAGCATTTGAAAGAGATGCCACCCCAGAAATCCCACTATCAAAAGGCTGGCTACACCAGTTAGAATCATGATTTGGGAGAAACAGGCAGAATAGAACAGGCTGTTTCAGCTGGCAGGGACTTACAGTGATCATCTAATCCAGCTGCCTGACCAGTTCAGGACTGACCAGAAGTTAAAGCATGCTCTTAAGAGCATTGTCCAAATGCCTCTTAAACACTGACAGGCTTGGGGCATCAACTACCTCTAGGAAACTTATTCCAGTGTTTAACCACCCTCTTGGTAAAGAAATTCTTCCTAATGTCCGGTCTAAACCTCCACTGGGCACAGCTCTGAACCATTCCCAGGTATCCTAGCAGCGGATACCAGGAAGACGGGATCAGCACCCTCCCCTGCACGCACTTGTAAAAAATCTCCATGCAGAGAGCAGGGGACAGAGATACGAAGTAGCCAGCTGAGTTCACAGCGGATCATTCTGCAGTCGGCTGGCCAAACAGTGACAGCCTTACTGCGATTTTTTGCAGCAGAAGTGGTGCTTGCATTTGCCTTCAGAACTGTCTGACTTATTAATGACTACCTCTGTTATTTGCATCAAGTAACTGCTCTTTTGTCACTATCACTAACAGCAACTACATGGAAGGTCTGAGCACATACACCTGCTAAATCCATTTTTAAGGCAGCTCAGTTGGCCCACAGCTAACGCATTCACCAACCAGCATTAGATACTGACTAGTATCTGGTCTGACATGGAGAACTGCAAAAAAGGTGCTTCATTTTATGATAGATCAAGCCAGGTTAGCTCTGCAGTGAAAATGTGCATAGTGCTGAAGCAGAATTTCACCTTCACATGTACATTCTCAATGTTTTGTGCAGCTGCCCAGGCATAATTTGACTTAATTGCAGTGCATCATGATGTATAGAGATACCACTTCCATTAGGAAAAAACTGGGCTGTGCATGAGCTGCAGAAGCACAATAGGAATGGGCAATCACATAAAGTGCAAGTGTTTGCTGAGGTTGCCACTGATATAAAAAGTTACATCTCCAACAGTCCTTCCTTTCTTCCTCTGGCAAATCCACATTGGCAACAGAATAGTTACCTGTGGTAGTATTTAAATAGTTCTGCTCACTCTGTTGAGTGAGTTAGGAAAAGGATGCTGTACTAAGCATGCTGTTAAGGAACCCCTCAAATCAGATAAATAAGACTCAGTTTGAGAGCAAGGATACATTTGAAGTTAGACTAGTATAAAGAAAAAAAAGAAAAAAATACAGCAATATTATGAAGTTGGTGTCAAACTGGAATTGTAAAGCAAGACGTGTTTGGCATTGATGTCCAGAAAAGATACGGTACTTCTAGTACGGCATTGTTTGTGGTTAATTGTCTCTTCTTGATGAATTTATATTAAAAATACCTCAAAATAAGACATTATCCTGAAACCACTCCTCCCCCCCCCAAAAAAAAGCCCCACCCCAAAAGACCTTCCCAAACCCCCCCAAAACTGGTAAATTCCAGCATGGGGACCCTGGGCTTTTCTTATCAGCTTTGTTTTCAGTTTGGTTGGCCATACTAGCTTCAGCACTCTACGCTGCAACCCAGTTAGATGCTTGATCAACACTCTGAAGTTTTTAAGACTAATCTGAAGAAACCAAAAACACTGTCCGCATGTTTGCTCCTAAATCCAAGAGAAATTAATAGAAAGAAACAAAACTCGCACTAACAGAAGTGCGAAATTACCTTTTTAAAAAAGCAAAAAAAGTAGACACAGCTATATCCTTAGAGTCTGTCTTATGGCCTCTATAATTTTAATTCTAACATTGAGAAACAACTTGCTTAAAAATGTATGTCACCCTTTGATTTGTAGCTTGAAGTCAAACATCAATCCTACAGGTACTTTACCATTTGTGACTCTTGCTTTGCCTAAGTATGAGGCACTAGAGACAAAAAGCTTAGATGTTAAAACAGGACACTTCTAGTACTTAGCCATTTTACCTGTGACATGGGTTTTTAATTGTTGCATAATCACTCTACTGACTAAACTTTTCTTTTCTGGTAAATACATCTGATGTATCATTAGACTGATGTATCATCATAACTGATGGTACATAAATGACTAAAACGTGCATTTGCCCTTTATCGTTTGTTTCACAATATTTGCACACCAGCGCTGGGCTTTGATACATTCAAGTTAACGTAGTAATCATGGGAAAGAACATCAGTGAAGCTGGCTTGGAAGTCAATTCACAGAAGTCACATAAGCTGGAAGAATTCATAGCTACATGAGAAAATGAATGCAGACAGAAATGATATTCAGTGTCAGAAACCAAGTCAATTTTCCTCCAGGAAAACAAATGCTACATCTGACTCTCAGATGCTTTGGGACCAATTTTCAGTGATCAATTCTAACTAGGGCTTCCTCCCATCCTCCAGCTTGCCTACCTCAAACCCACCTGCTCAACAGTCATTTCTGGAGAGTTTTATAAATTTAGCTAATCCTATGAGATAGCTTGATGGCTGACGGTTTGAGTTCCCATTAGCTAATCCACATCAGCTGCTCTTGGAAACATTCTGTGGGGTAACATCATGCCCATGCTTTCAGAATTACTCAGGCATATATTAAGTTACCAGTTTTTATATATATTTTGATGACTTCCACTTTACATCTGAAACTTAAGAGCATTATAGAATTCGGCAATCCAAGCTCGGATAGTTTGCCCCTTGGCCAATGCAGGGCCATTCTGAAGGCTGTTACAATAACCATCTGGTTTCTGTCATTCTGGTACATCTGTTCATGGCCCTTGATTGCGTCACAGTTGAGAAGACCATAAGATGTAAGGTGGAGGGGTTTTCTTCTTTCTTTTCTTTTTAAAATAAACATTTTTTTTTTTCTGTCAGCATCTCATTTAACTTCTGCGTCATTCTGCAAGCACTCATCTCTCATTTGCACCCAAAATTTGTTCCCCTTTTACTGGAAATGATTTATATCGAGAAGATGTCTTTAGAGAACATAATTTATATTGATGGCACAAATCCTATATTATTAAAAGGTCCCATGCATGTTTTGCTTTTGCTCTTCATTTTGGGTCTGTAGTGGCATTGTGGCTCATGTTTGGTGCTGAGGTGCTGAAAGAAGACAAATAAAAAAAAAAAAAAAGAACTTTAATCTTACAAGCTGTTAGCGACCCATAGGGAGTGCTCTGAACTAAGAACTTGGGAACATTATGGAAAGCACTGGAACAGAGTTTCTTTGATGCTCATGACAGCTTACCTCTGACCTTTCAATACCATAATGAAAAACCCCTCCCTTTCACTTAATCCTCTGAGGCTAATTCTTACATAGCCAAGAGGTTCCACCAGGTTACTGGTTCAAAATGCCACTTGGACATTTGAAAAGGATAGACTTGTATATTTTGGAAAGTCTTCTATAGTCCTTTCCATTTATGTAATGCTTGAAATACAGCAAAATGCTTTCACATGAATAGTGACTTTTAAAAGCTGTTGCAAATATTTAATGGCTGTAGGCAAGTAAGATGTCATACTTCATTTACCTTAGGCAGAAATATATATATCAGAGAAACAAAGCTGTAGCCTCTTAATTAAGTCTTGAAAGAGAGGTTGCTTATTGGAGAGATAACCTTCTTTGAAAGATTAATGTCTAAGGGAGGTCATTCTGAGATAGAAAGAAAAACAACACATAACCTAAAGACAGCATCTCTTATGACTAGAACAAAAGACTCCTACCTGAAAGCCTTTCTTCCACCTGGTTATATTTTATGGTCCCACACACACCAGAAGGAAGAGTGACAGGAGCAAAATTAACTGGTTTCCCAGAAAGCATCTTCCTTCACTGCTCTGATAAACTGGTTACAGCAGGGACTCTGACAGGCTTTCAGGTGACTCTAATCTGCTCGTCCAATGATCAATGAGTGCCTACAGTAATCGGATTGGAAGGAATACAGGCTTCCCAACATAGACACTTATGCTGGGGAGGCTGCACTAAAACAAACAAACAAAAAAAAAAGTGTGAACAGAAAGCAGGGGATGGGAAAAAGGGGAACAGATGTGAAGTCAGGAAAGTGCACTGCTGCCAGGGAGGGAGAAACAAGGTCAAAAGACAATGAACCAGAGTAGCAGTATTTGTTGAATAGTATTTGCTCACCAAGAGAGGCAGTATTAGGCCTCTATTCAAAAAAGCAGTGAAGGCATTTGTTAAGCTGGATTTTCAAAGAAGTACTGCTCATTCTCTGTAGTTCATCTCTACCTGTATATCATCTGTAAGAAACTGCTGTCACAGGAAGGTAGCTGTGAGGATTCAATTTAGTCTACTTAGTCTTTTACAAGCCAAATTTAGCTTCACCTTGATTAACTTAAGATTCTCCATCGACTACCTAAAGGATCCATCCCAATTTACGCAGCTATCAGATCATTTAAGTGACCTGAAGATATTATTTTCTTGTCTCAAAAAAACAGAAGACTGTTTATTTTGATTTTTTTTTTAATACCATTGCATTTCTTATGCCCCATCCCATATGAAGTGTAGGACTTTTTTTGACACAGTGCCAAAAACCTCCTACAAACAGCTAAGTACCTTCAGTGTTTTTCATGCAAACCAAAGGAAGGACTGAGGTTGCTCAGTACTAGGCAGAATTAATAACAAGGAAGCAAGAGACAACCACAAATTAATCTGAGACTGATGGGTTAGAAGGAATGCTATGCCCCAGTAAGCCTAGCTAGTACGCAGAGCCCAATGCAAAGAGTACTGAAAGTACTTGAAAAAATCCCCCTCCTTGTGTTTAGCAGGACTTGGAACAGTAGTTCTTTATGGGGCAAAGAGCCTTTAAAATGTTGTTTCCTACAATAATCCCACAAAAGGAAATTCCCCTTGACAAAAACAAAGCAATAGATCTTCTAAAGGGCAAAGAATGTACAAAAGATGATCAGAAAACATAACATGTGGGCAGATAGCACCTGTAATCTACTAGCAGGTTTAAGTATCATCTTGTACTACAATTCATAACATCTGGCTTATGTTATGGCCGTGTTTTTTTTCTTTGAACAGTTTCTCACTGTCTTGCTGCCAGGATGTATTGGACTTTTCTGAGTTATCTGTGAGCTTGATTTAATTCAGAAGGTGGAGCTTTTTGCCTTTAAAAATAAAACTGAGTTTTGCTGCTAAGACAGACAATTTACTTCACGTAAAGTTTCCCCAACAATCACAGCAGAGATGCTCCTCCATGAGACACTTTCTGTGTTAGGACAGCAAAGCCAAAAATGACAATATGAAGTGAAATGTTGACCCAGACAGACTAAGAGATGTGTCCAAGGACCACAGTAACAAGTTAAGGAAAAGCTGGCACTAGTCTGATACTGATGATGCGCCAAGAACATCCATTCCTTCTTAAATACAAATGACTTTTCACATAAAAAAGGAAAATATTTCTCTAGCAATGAATGAACAAACTGAGCACTGCATGGAACCTGAAAACCTTAAATAATTTTGGAGACAAAAAGGAACTGCAGAGAGATGGGTTACAATTCAGAATCAGATTTTACAAACTTTATTCCAAACATCAATGTCTGGTTAAGAGAGGATTTTTGAAGCTTTCTCTTATTTCTGCACATATACTGATTTCCTGCTGTAATCTGTGTTCAGAAGCTGATCATTTAGAGAAGCCTTAGCAGCATCATTCAGAGACTCAGAAAACTTTAATGCAATATTATTGCATTATTGGTCTGATGGAAAAGATGTATGAATAGAGAAGAAATTTGGAAATCATGAAGGCAAATCCATATTGATCTGAGTATTGGAGCAAGTTACTGCAATCCTCATGGCAGCAGGGATATAATGAGTTTTAGGGAGGAAGTGGAGGGGACAGCTAAAGCTGTAAAAATGAACACATGCTTTTACAGCCGGTCACGCATGCTTTTAATTCTGTTTTTGTTCTTCCCTGCACACTCCGTAACTCCCAGAAAATAGAATGAGATGCAAAATAAAGGCACTAACTCTGCATAATAGTGGCAATGCAGCTTCCTAGCCCCAGACTAGCTAAAGTACAGGAGGAATCCAACTCACAACAGCCACTACATAGCCTTAAATAGCTCAGCAGAGTACACAAGCCCCGGGAAAGACGAGGTCACCATTGCTCCCACGTTAACATTGTGTGTCAAGCCTAAAATAACTCAGAAATTGTTAGCAAGACAGGGGCTGTCTTTTTGGTTTCTGTGTCCCAGTGAAGAATCAGCAGGTCCCATGTCAAAGACAGCTCCCTTGAGGTGGAGTGCTCTCAATTGGCCCTGAGCTAATTCAGATGAAATGCTTCAGCGAAATTATAAATGACAGCTTTGAGAACAGATTAGTTTCAGGCTTATTTTAAATCAATGTTTTCCTACTTTATGCCTTTTTTTTTTTTTTTTCAGAGGGGGAAGAGGAGAGCAATGAAGGTATGACTTCATTTCCAATTTGGTAATCAAGAATTAACTCATAGGTCTACCAGAACTGGTTTGTTTTCACTTTAAGCTTGTCTAGCGTTTCAAGTGGATCCATACAGACAGAATAAGGGCAGGCATATCACTCAAGTGATGTAGACAAATAGCACAGAACATTGGCAAATGAAGACAGTCTTGGGATCCAAGGCATCAGGGTGTGTTTCTCATGAAGCTGCATGTGTAAATTTGGGGCAGATATTATTTGGTCATAGAAAAATGGAACAGTTCCCTTGGCAGCTGTCACTCAGCAGTCTGTTGGACAGGCAGTGCCAAACTATTATAACTCCAGGAAAAAAATCATTTGCAGATGTCAAATACCAAATACAGGCTGCATTGCAGAGAGAGGGGGAGTCTGAGGGAGAAGGACTGTAGAAGGAGGGAACTGATCATCTCCAGGCTATAATGAAATGCCTGTATAAGCTGATGCCAGGTGAGATTTTTAAGAATGAAGACCATAATACCGATTGATACTACCTCACTCTTCAATTTATCCGTGGGATTCTGCCATCTCTTGTCTGCACTGTGATCTCTGGTCTTCTAGACTGTGTTTGTACAGATCCCAGTGCAGAATTATGGCTTTCATGGACTTGCTTTTCTTGAAGCAGCGACATCCTTTCCTACAATGGAACGCCTCTTCCAAAACTTAACCTTATTGCATTGTACCACACTAAGCCCTTCTTGGTAACATCCAAGCATTAACACCATTTCCTGAAAGATGCATATCACTTCTCATTTCACAGTACTAAAACATTTAAGTTGCAGACACCTCCAAGGGAAGAAAAGGTACCCAGCTGACAACAGAAAAAACTTAGAATCCTCTTATAATCACCTTTGTTAAGGATCCAAGACTAAAAAAAAATATAAGAAATACTGTGGCTATCTTTGCAGTAATAACAACAGGCTGAGATATTTACCTTTGACTGTGACCTGAGCACTGCAAGATGCCTGTCCTGTGCTGTTTTCAGCCAGACAGGTATAAATGCCATCATCTTCTGGTAGGGCATCTTGGACAGTCAATTTTGCAAGTCCATCTTCAAAAGTGGAATGGGCATACTGAATTGGCTGATCTGAAGACAGAAAGGAAGAGAATTGTCTTAATACATTAGACTTAAATTTCAAAAGCACTTCAGTGAAATCTGGGTGTCTAACCCCAGCTAGTATATTGAAGTGCAGAGCCAAATCCCACTCTCTGGTGCACAGTCACTGCTCTCTAGTGACTACAAACTGCAGCATTCCAAGCACAAAGCAGGAAACGATTGTCAGAAAGACTTTGCCATTAGGTTCACTGGGTGCTAGCTTGAGTAGCAGCAAGAGGAGAAAATTTTAGCTTTGTATTTTGAATAGATTCCCTTTCAGGTGGATAAGAAATGTCTAGTGTATTTGTTTCAGAAATTGTATCCATCTTGTACTTGGCCTGAAACTAGATATTAGGATTATTGTCTAGATGTGCAAAACCTGTTGGGCATGGAGAAGCACTTGAATTTGTCCATTAAATAGTTCTTAGTGGAATACATTCCAAGAGAGACAGTAAAATCCACAATGGAGTCAAAAGGCTGACAGGCTGATTTACACAAGCAGTCAATCTACACTACAGTACTTACAGTCTGGTAACAGACAGATACAATCTGATCAATGGTGACATGACTATTAAAGAAGTTCATTTTAAGAAACTGGTTCCTTGAACTGCTTTGGAACAGGCTTAAAGGCTAGTGTAGATGATTAAAGTTGCCTTGCTGTTCTTTCAGGAACTGTTTTCAATCTCAACCTTGCTTTCTGAAATGCTTCTTCAATCTGTTTTCCCAATATTAAATAGTTTCCACTACT